TCCTCGTTTAGTAAAAATGTTAATAATAAGCGAATTCTTTTCTGATCACTGTTTTTTATCATCTCTTTTCTTTCTAGCGTGGACTGAAGACTCACCATCAGTTGTTTTCTGACACTTTATCTCTAGTCCGCACTCCTAATAACGAGGTTACTACACTGCGTAATCACGTGACTCCCTGTATTAAGGAGTGGGTAAGGTGTTACCTAATTTACCTGATATATTCAGACCTTTCCAATCGATAATAAATATCTTTCGTCTGAATATTTGTTACGTAGGTTGCTGGACGAAGCCATACACTAATTATATAAAATATGCGCCTCACACACGAGTAACTAAAGCATGAGCAATATTTGTATTACTAGTGAGTGAAGGCAATCTCTAGAGGCGCATTTCTCTAATTCTTAACAGATATTACTATAAAGGTGAGTTATAAAATGTAAATATTGATCACTTTAAACACAGATTGTATTACCTCGTATAGCGCTCGCAATTTTGAATCATTAATAAATTTGATAATTAATGAGTGGATGGTGCTCGGGCTTGTGGTCATTATGTGTGTGCCTGTGCCTGTACGTCTCGTACAGACGTAGCATGCAGCTGCGCTTCCGAACTCAACGGTCATTGTGAGCGCGCTGAGTGCGTCTAAAATGAGGTTACGTAATATCAAGGCGTTATCGTATCCAACCAATCTTAACAAGAATCTCAAGAATGATTTGAGTAATTATGGTTATTATAGAATTTTTAATAACATTTTATCTCCTTTTCGCTTCCGTCATTTAACGGTCAATGTGTGAGCGCGCTGAGTACGTCTAAAATGAAAGTGATTTTAAAGCCCCATTCCCGGCCAAATTTAAGCTTTTAAGAAAAATCTAATTTTTGTATAATGTTATAAAGATTTATAAATATAATACGGAATTGCTAGTTTAACTGAATTTAGACATTCCTAAGAATGAAAAAAATGTAAAATAAGACTGAAATTTGATTTTGTGTTCCACACAAAAAATAAATGCGGATGAATTTTTCGTTTTAATTTTGCGATAGGTCGTGAGAAGAAATATCGTAGGCGCCGAAAACATTAGCCTATCCAGCGCTGCTAGGCTAGGCCTAGCCTTAACTCGATTTAGGTTCTGTTATCACACATAAAAACGGCCGACATGATATTTTCCGTTGCTAGTATTGACACTTGTGAAATATAATATTTCATAGGAATTATTTCAAATTTGTTAAAAAAAAACTAATTCTGACTGAGATTTTGACAAACATATCTCAGCTTTAATCGAACGACCACATTGTGCGAGATACGAAGTACAAAAACTAATCTCATTAGAGAGGGCGCACTTTATTGACTGTATAAACGTATACATAAAAGCGAAAGTATTCCAGTGGATGCGATCTACAACCTCTGAATTTGCCAGTAACGATGAATTCGTCCAGAAAATGGTAATATTTTATGAGAAATAGTCTGTATTTCTCATTTTTTTTTATTCTTTTGCGTAAAACTAAAATTCAAGCCAATATTTTTCCATGATTTATAATAATTGGAGTACGGTAATGCAAATGAATATTTTCTATAAAAAAAAAAGTCAGTTTTTAGTGAAATTTTGCCGGTAATGGGGCTTTAAGGTGTCATCGCATCCAACCAATCTTAAAAAGAATCTCAATAAAAATTTGAGTCATTATGGTTATTATAGAATTTTTAATAACACTTTATCTGTTTTTGCGCTTCCGTCATTCAACGGTCAGTGTGAGCGCGCTGAGTGCGTCTAAAACGAGGTTACGTGATATTAAGGTGTCCTTGCTTCCAACCAACCTTAACAGGAATCTCAAGAAAGATTTGAGTCATTATGGCTATTACAGAATTTTTAATAACATTTTATCTGTTTTCATAGTTAATTTGAGACAATTTTATAGGCCTCTAGAAGATTTTTTTTTTGTTTTGTTTTTTTGTTCTGCAACTTTTTAAGGGTGGGTAAAAATGTTGTCCTCTCCTACTTAAATACACCACTGGCACCTTCGATATTAAAAGGTCAGCCGGAGACACGAACAAGTGGGCCTGCGACAGTTGCTAAGACTTATGGGATTATTTCTTTTAATGTCTTTCAGATCAACTTACAGGACAGTAGCTATAACTACACAAGCCCTAACAACACCCAGGTCAACTCTACAATAAATGATAGTATTCTGCTTTACCGTCTTTTCAAATATCTTGAATGTTTCATAATTGATGTAGAATCAAAATCTACGGTATCGAATAACTCATGCTTTTAAACTGGTGTGAATGTGATATTCTTTGGCAGCTCACAGATTCGGTGTTAATACAACATATGGTGTGTTATGATTTCGAATTTTAACTAAACATTTATTTCTTTCACTAGAGTACTCAACAAAGTTAATTATTACACATCAGAATAATGACTCGATTAACAATAACAAAAAAATATGAATTTAAACGAAGCATTGAATTTGAGGTAATGTTAGATCCAAGCCCAGTTGGCACATTTATAGCCAATTCCGTACTCGCGTGATACTTGAGGCCTATAGCCTAAAGTCATCATTTGTTGGCAAAGTGCAGAGAGTTACATTATATTGACGATTACAGAAAAATTTACATTGAAGCCCTGTAGGGTATCTTATAATGTGTAATCTTGGATACTGTTATAGTCCGATTTGATTGGTCGAAAACTGTAGGCATAGGATATGTTAAGTTTAATAAAATAATTTTAGGTAAAACCAAAACTTTGTGTTTGCAAGTCTCACCGATCGTAAATCCCGGAAAGGATCGTTTGCTTTATGTTTTAAAAAGGATAACGATGTACTGTCAGACATGATCTAAAAAAATAAAAGTACAATAAGTTAGTGAATGAGAAAGAGTTGTCCTGTTAATAAACTGTTCATTAATGCCTTTCTTGCTATATTCTATTTCATAGATTATTTAGATTTACTGGTAAGATTTTTTATCTTTTGTGGGGGTCATCCCACCTTTATTCATCACAAACACAAAACATTTTTTATAAGCAACATTGTGGATACACAATCATTTATAATGCAATATGGCAATGTAAAAATACTGGAGAAATTTTTGGTATACGTTTTTAAAATGAGTTGTTCAGTTAAATGTCTGTAAATCAGAAGTTAATAACTTTTAGATAGGCCTAAATTTGGATGATCTATTAAAAACTTTGAATTTTTTTAGGTTTTCCGTTTTATTGGCAGATAGTATAATATTTAAAGTACTTTGGTAACTTTAATCAATCCAATTTTCGATTATTGCAATAAAGCACATTGTAAATTATAACAGCTTAATTCCGGGAAGGCGTTTCATATTATTGCTTCATCGTGTGAAAAAAAAAATTGTCCGATGTAATGAATAGATTTTGTATTATTTTATAAATAGAAGATAAGGTGGTGGAACACAACGGATTGAGTATGTTGTGTTTGAATAAAATAATGCGACTAGGCCTTGTTTTGAAGATCAAACACGATCCAACTTTTAAAAGGGGCATTCTCTTACGTGAAAGTCATGATTGATTGATTACTTAATTAAACTCTCATTGATTATTCTTAAACTGTTGCATATGCAAACACTTGCAAATGAAAACCAAGCTCTTAATCTTGATTATACATCTCGATGATAGTCAGAATGTATACTGGTATCGCAATATGACGTCAAGTTCGGCTCACGAGCCTCGTAACTACTCAGCAGACTCAATGATGATCATGAGATACGACATTTTCAAACTTTCAGTCAATATATTCACTGCCTTGGTCATGTCTCAATAATTAGATGAGTGCCTTTTATGATCAAATAATTCGGCTGAAACTAGTTCAGATGTTCTGATTTTCGACTCATTGTAACAACAAAACACCTTGTGGCTAATTTTACCTTTATAATAAAACATAAGCGCGCAATAATTAGACAACCACACGGGAAATAATAGACTACACGTCGAATATAGACATAACATTAAATTCTGTTCATGGCAGAAAATCATACAGCTCAGATTAGGCTTAGACGTCAACGGGATACCAGAACGCGAACACAAGGCATCGGACCGTGCAGTAATCAACTCGATGAAACGATGATAATGATGATGATGATGATGATGACGACGACGACGACGACGACGACGAAGACCATTTTCTAGTGACTTTAAGAGCATTTCCAAAATGTAAACTCCAAAACGCGTTTTCAATGTTCAGAAAACGCTTCGTTGACGAATTATGTACGCAGAACGCATCCATGTGTAGGTCGGCAAATTTCATCACGTTGTTTACTTCATGACAAAATAATGGCAAATGAGCAATTAAAAGCATTGGTAAGGAACCATATTATAGAGTCGATTATTAGGCTATGTATATAATGTTGATGTAAAACATATGCTGGTTTAGGCCAGGCTGGTGTAAGAATCTTAGCTAGGCCCAGATTTATACAACACACCACCACGAGCTAGAGAGGCCTAGCCTTGTTGGCGCGCCTGTAGTGCCAGACCCTTACTTTAGTACTCTAGGCCAAGCCCTCGGTGATGATAGGCTAGGGCCAAGCCAAGGTAGTACTTAGAGTAGGCCTACGCCTAGGTTTTAAATAGCTCGTTATTATTGGTTGTGGAGTTGGCCCAAGGCCTACTCTATAAAATTCTTCATGCAGTCAAAGATAGTATTAGTAGTAACTTACGAATAGGCTTTGACTTTGTGAAAAAACATTTTAGTGTTGTCTGGAAAAAAATGACAGAAGTGACCACCTATTAGCATTGCATTGAAGTGCGCCCCCACTAATCACGAAAATACTGCATGTAGCATATTTAAGCTGGTGTTCCACTAGGCAAATTTATTTGCGCGAATCAAGGCGTTGATTCGCTTCCTGTGCTCTGATTGGTTGCGCGTTTTTTTCGCTTCGCAAAAACTCCTATAAATAGCACATTGTTGTTATTAATATTATTATTTATTGATTGTTATATTTATAAGAATTTTTTTTAATGTTCATTAATTTCTTGCAGTCAAGCCTTGAAATGCAGTGGGCGATGAAGGCATTCAAGCATGCAGAGGTTTATTATAATGTAAGTGAATTGAAAAAAAAATGTCTTGCACTTTCAAAATTTGCCAATGGAATGTTCCGATAATTCCTGACCTTATTGAGTAACACTTTCTGATTGGTCAGTTGTTAAGTTTGACTACAACTTAACTTTCTGTCAACATTTTTCCTCAAATCAATCTAAATATAATAAATCATATTTTTATTATGAATCCCAAGATAAAATATTTTGAAACAGGACAGCTGAAATGATTCAACTGTTTTAAGGCTGTGTTGACAAGGTTTTAAGTTCATTTAATCAAAGAAGGAAGTATATTCACTCAATGCTCTTGGCTAAAAAAAAAAAAAAAACTACATTAATAAATAATGTTGTAGATTGTAGATAGTGATGTATCTAGTACAGAATGAAAAAACTTCAAATTCCAGAAAATACTGCTATCACAGTCTCCTTTATATATTATATATCACCTTGAGCTAGAGTTTCAAAGGCTTATTTAATCGATTTTAGAATCTATTATTATATAGAAAATACATATAATTTTTTTTTTCTCCCCTGCGAACTGTAGTAACCCTGGCACCCCCCCCCCCATAGCACCGCCACTGTTACAAACTCCAAATAAAATTGTGTCATAGTCCTAACTATGGTAGGGCTGAGGTGGTCTGAACACTTTGTCTGTAAAATTTCCTCCCCAGGCCCCCTCTATTTCAATTTACTGGGTTCACTACTAAGCAACTTTATTTTCTTTCCCTCAGTTGATATCTTCAGTTGATTCAAGGAGCTTAAAACTTACAAAACACGATGATGAGATTTTGGAACATTTCAACAAAGATTTTCCTGACTTCAACATTCAGAAATTTGATGAGGATGATTTGAAAACAGAAAGTGCTAAATTTGTGAGTTGATTTTTTGTAAAGACTAAATCCCCTGGACCCCCTATGAGGGCAGTGGCAAATCTTGGAGTCTTAAATTGGGGGAGGGGCATGAAGGTGAAGTGGGGGAAGGGGGGTGGGAATTCTGAGGTTTCTAGGACTTGAAAACCCAGATCAGAGATCTCAGTTTTCTAGACACTCAGGTCCAGTGCACACACAGTCTGATGGGGGGGCTTGACCTGTCGCCACCGGGGTAGCCAGTTTAGTGGACTGAATTAAACTGCACTCTCTAATTAATTGTTATACTATGTTTAAGGAATTCATTGATTTATATACTGTGAGTAAGTGTTAATTTATGCTTAAGTCAACCAAAAAAATATATGCTGATCTTCAACAATGAATATTGGGAATATTTTTTCCCAATGATTTTTAAAAATAAATGTTTTTTCAAGAGAAATTTGTATATACAGTACAATATTCAGCCATGAAATTTTCCCCGTAGAGGGATGAATAAAGTATCGTATCCATAAACAAAATTATTTTTCTTTAAACACAGTCAGTGTCAAAGTGTATTCTAGGCTCCGCAAGCTGTGGGGATATGTAAACATGGATGTGACGTTAATGTTAAAAATCAAAGTGTGGAATTCTATTATGGTGGTGCTAACCTTATGTTATGAATAACTCTGACACCCACTATCTTTATATTTTGCAAAACAAAAATCAAATTGATCAAGGCTGCTTTAAGACTCTCAAAGTCCCAATATAAATGAAGTGATTAAAAGTAGGTAGATAAACTTTTATTCTATTAATTTCATTCTCACCTGCTGAACAGCTCAGCAAATGACAGATGGAAAACATTAATTGAAAAAGTTCTTCATAATACTGTAATATAAATTCTGACTCCTGTTGAGAAGTAGTGTAACAGTATTTTAATTATGTTTACTTTGAAAATTATGGGGTGTTAAGTTTTTATTTTATTGTTTAATGATTGTAATGCTTATAATTATTAAATGATAATAAAAACTTAACAGTCAATTCAATTATATTAATATAATTGAATTGATTAAAAAAAATTATGGGGTGTTAAGTTTATATTTTATTGTTTAATGATTTTAATTATAATAAAAACTTAACAGTCAATTCAATTATATTAATATAATTGAATTGATTAAGACAATTATGGGGTGTTAATTTTATACTTTAATTTTTAATGATTTTAAAATTTTATTTATTGTACAGTATTTTGATATAATGTATATTTGTTTTAGAGTTATATTTTATATGTACTTTGTTTACAAAATAAAGAATAAATGAAATGAATGAATGAATACTTATAAAAAACTTATTAAAAAGTTTTTTTCTATTAAAACAGTCAATTAAATTATATTAATTTAATTTAATTGATTAAGCCATTTTTAATGTATTTTACCTTTATCTGTATTTTTGCATGTATGATTTCACATGGGATGTTAATAAAGTTTAACTTGATTTAATTACTGAAGAAATGGAGGCCATTTTGTAATCATTTTGATGGTACTGTGGAAGACTTCAACTTTGGAACCCTGCTAAGATTAGATTGTTCAAAAGATTACTCAGAAGAAAACTCAACTCTTGGTAGGTTAAGTATTTTAGTTTATTGAATCTCATTCAACAGTCAGCAACTTCCCACTTAAAGTAAGGCTTCAGTGGAATTTTTTTTTTTTCAGTGGAATTTTTTTTTATATGTCGTACAACTGATTTTTCTTAGACACAAAAAGCATATTTGCCGAAAAACTTGGGTTAATGAGATACAGATTTTTTAATATTTAAAAACTTGGAAGGGGGGAGGGGGGAAGATGGAAAAAAGGTTACCGTACCCACCAGTCTAATACAGGTCAGCTTCCCCATTCCCCCCTTTTTGGATCCTGGTGACCAATTCCATCGTGGGATTTTAGATTTGCATTGTTATTTTAAATGTTTTTAACGACGAATAAATGATATAATATGGATCCAGTAAATTGAGGCCAGGGAGGGACTTTCACAGTTGGAGAGTCTATACTACCTCAGACCGACCATGGTTGGGGCTGAGGTAAGAAAATTTATGAATATGGCACTTTCAGATGGCCGGAAATGGCACCTTACAGACATAAAATTGTGAATATAATTTTCTTTTCATCTCCATTTAAAATTTTTTTTTTGACAAATTTTGTGGGGTCCCAGGCCGAGAGTGGGGTCCCCGTTGGGCTGTAGGGGCCCCTCTCTTTAATCATTATAATATGATATATTACCTACCTTGATCCAAAATTAGTTAATAAACTATCACTCTATAGTTTTAAAACCTCTTTTAAAAAGTCTCTGAACTCTGTGTACGGTGACTAATCCACATTTACTTTTTTTTATTACAGTTAACCTAAATTGATGTTACGAAGGATAAACTTTCTTTAATTTGTAATACATGCATAATCATTTTATCTGGAAATATAAATTTATTTTTATTATGATATTGTTTTGTTATTATAATATCATTATTATTGTTTTTATTATTATTTTTATTGATACTATTGTTTTTGATATGGTTATTGTTTTTATTTTTTTATATATCATAATGTGTGTTTTTAATTATTACCTGTACATTATTCAATTTCTGTATCAGTGGGCTATAGCTTTTAGGTAGTTATGCATTTTACTACTAACTTATTTAGCCTCCCCCACTAATATATCAGCGATGTTGTTACCTACTATGTATATTTTATTGTGTACTGTATTTTGTATGAGGTGAAAATAAAGATTATTCTTCTGAAAAAAAAAACAACTCAAAAATTTAATTTAACAATTGAATTGCTAATTTACATAGATCAAATAATTCAAATTCCAATCAAACACAAATGAAAACAATTTATTCCTTCACTGTTTCAGATTTGTTTTGTATGAAAATTCATGAATTGATTACTAGCCAATTTAGGAGTGCATGCAAAGAGTATAGAAACTGTATTATTCATTAGTCGTGAATTGAATATACTTTCCCACTCCAACTTTCAATTTAGAGTTTACATAAATTTGTTAGCTTTCTGCAGACAGTGTGTCTAACTACAGTATTTAATTATAATGTATGATATTAACACTGTTGCAGTTACAATTTTATTAACTTGCGCACAACAAAATTGATACTGTACATTGGCCACCTATTAAATTAATTTCCATATTATTATTTATTAACTATCAATAATTAATAATGTAATTATATAGTATTACAATAGTATTATTATTATTATTGGTATTATTATTACAATTATTAATATTGGTATTATTATTATTATTATTATTATTATGAATATATCCTTAAATTTTAATTTCTATTGCCATTATTGATTGTCTATGTGCTTTCCGATTTTTGTTATTTTATTGTATTTTATTGTATGTATTGCTGGGCCCTGGAGGATAACAATGCTTTTTGCACTGATCCGGTCATTCAAGGTATAGAAGAAATAAATGAAATAGAATAAAATATTTATTCAAAAAAAAATGTTTTTGTTTCAGCCACAAGAATTCAGTTTTATGCAATAGAAATTGCCAGAAACAGAGCTGGGTTGAATTTGGTGAATAGAAAGAAAGGAGAAAGGAAGGAGAATGATAAGGAGAGCAAAGTAAATGACAAGTCATAGCAGTTCCTGAGCCCTTCCTTATACCCGGGCATTCACTGCCTGTAAGATGGTCATACGATTGTCAAATACAACTCTGCTCCCCATGAATTACCATTAAAAACGATCTGTTGCGCGCACATCGTGATGTTGCGTTCTTCGTAGAATCCTGTTGGCCGATGACCATCTGGCGCAGTGTATGTCCGGCTTAACAACAATGAAATTATCGCGTGTTAATAATACATTTGTATCACAAACATTGTATATATAATTTACTAAATTCTAAGCCTTCCGTTAATGATATTAAAGCAAACATACTTAATAATTTATTGCAGTATACTGTATATTATATAGTGAAAGTGTAGATAAAAGAATACTATAATAAGGTATGGTATAAATTTAGCAACATTGAACTTTGTATCTGAGCTATTTTTATGCCTAGACATTCAAAACAAATGTTTACGAGCTGCTGACATTTATTTGCTGGCTTATATTGAAACATTTCATCCAGATTAAAATGAGATATTGACGCTGTGATTGGCTGTAATAATTTCATGTGATAATTATATATGTGCTTGGTATATCGCGCTATAAAGACGTAGCACTTAAATGTATCGTAGCTGACGTTTCAACTTGTAGTTGTGACGGTCATTTTAATGTTCATGTCAAGATATTGTAAATGGTTAGCAGTGGAAAAAAAACTGCATGACTTTACCTAGACCGAGGCTCACTTCCTGTGCAAAAGGATGCTGGGATAAATCGACAATAAACAGTAATACTGTACCAGGGGCGGATTTAGGGGGGGGCCGGCCCGGCCCCGGCCCCCCCTTTTGGGAGGTAAAAAAAAGGGAAAAAATGAAAAAAAAGAGAGAAAACATTTCTGACGTGTCAATAACCATACTATGCTGTCTCTTATACACATCTGCAAACATACTTAATAATTTATTGCAGTATACTGTATATTATATAGTGAAAGTGTAGATAAAAGAATACTATAATAAGGTATGGTATAAATTTAGCAACATTGAACTTTGTATCTGAGCTATTTTTATGCCTAGACATTCAAAACAAATGTTTACGAGCTGCTGACATTTATTTGCTGGCTTATATTGAAACATTTCATCCAGATTAAAATGAGATATTGACGCTGTGATTGGCTGTAATAATTTCATGTGATAATTATATATGTGCTTGGTATATCGCGCTATAAAGACGTAGCACTTAAATGTATCGTAGCTGACGATTCAACTTGTAGTTGTGACGGTCATTTTAATGTTTATGTCAAGATATTGTAAATGGTTAGCAATGGAAAAAAACTGCATGACTTTACCTAGACCGAGGCTCACTACCTGTGCGAAAGGATGCTGGGATAGATCGACAATAAACAGTAATACTGTACACCAGTCTTATATTTTTCTTTACATAAAAACAAGTTAGGTCACCAATAGAGCATCACGAATGCAAATCCAAATTTTAAATTTCAATTTTTTAGCACAAAATTTGGAAATGCATTTCAGACAGTGGGACATATCAATATTTACACTTGTAATACACGTGTTAATAAAGTAATTTAAAATTACGAGATACGAAACTAAGTAAAGTATATTATTCACTACCACTGTTTGGTTTATATTTTATTTTCATGGAGTAAGAAGTAATTTTTAAAGCAGACAAATTATACGAAATAAAACAAATCAGGAAATAAAAGCGTGTTTTGCTTGTTTTTTATTACATAAATTTCTAGATATGGTATCATAAACGGCAAGTTTTAAGTGTCAAAAATGATTAAATCAAGAAGATATATAATGTTTCTGTGAAGTAAAATTATTACTGGATAATCGGTGTAGAACCATTGGTACTGGAGTCATTGTTTTAAAAGCACTGTTCAACTTTGAAGTCAGTTTCCATAAAATTGCTACACGCTCTCGCCGACTGCTGTCGGCGATGTGACATGTCGGGTCGAATCGGGGAGACGTCCCCATTGCGGACTAAACCCAATGTAGCGATGTTATGGAAATCAGACTTACCTTAATGACGTCCTTGTCGGTTTTTGTTTGATATTGATAGTAAATACAGAAGATTCATATATACCGTAGGCTTACATCTATTCATGGTTTGGTGCATCTTTACACGTCCATTTAAAAATACACTTTTATAAAAATCCAAAAAACATGAATAAGAAATTTAAAAAAATGAATTCCTTACTTCGTACATTTCAATTAGTTATTAACTTTCAACTCAAAATTAGATTGAGAAAAACTACCTTGCCAATTAATAACGGACGTTTGTTTTTTGGATAGTGCAATTCACCAGTCTTTTGATAATTATACAGTGGCGGATTCAAGGGGGTGGGGGAGCCCCTCCCCAAATTTTTCAAAATTTAAAAAAGAATTGAGGACAAAAAGAAAATTCTGAGTCTATAAGTGCCATTTTCGGCCTCTAGAGGTGCCATAATCATACATTCTCTTTCCTCAGCCCCAACCTTTATGGTGTATATATAGACCCTCCATCTGTGAAAGTCCCTCTCTGGGCCCCTTCTTATAAATTCCTGGATCCGCCATTGCTTGAACTGATATCTCAGCAAATTTAAAGATTTTTGTACAGTGTAAGACGTCTGTAAACTACTGATCCGTGGCTAATACATAGAGGCCAAGGATTGCAAATAGCCATCCTAAAATCATTGCATTATAAGTGGCAGTCCTTTCCAAAAGATAAAGACAATGCATATAAAGCCTCAAGTCTCGTTATGTGGATTCGTGAGTGGAGTACTAATTTTTCGTCACCAGGACTTGAACTTGAATTGCAGAGAGCATGTTAAGTACCTAGCTACATACCAAATTTCAATTTTGACGATTTTTTATGAGCAGTGCATAAGCCTATGAGCATATTCTAATGTAAATTAATATTGACATTATAGCTTTGATGTCCGTAAACGTATCCACTTAAAATATTAAAAACATTAAGATACAGTACTCCTGCAATGGTCAATAATTGGGGTTTGCTTCCTTTCGTTTCGATAAATCTCAGTAACAAATAGAAGGCATGACAACCTGGCTAAACCTTGAACCCAGTAGTGGATTCAATGGAAGGGGGTGAGCCGGCCCGGGTCCCTTAAGTTTTTCAAAATTAAAAAAGGATAGAAAAAAAAGGAAATATATTAATCCAATTTAGGTCTCTAAGAGTGCCATTTCCGGCCATCTAGTGATGCGCAATCATAGCTGAGGTGGTCTACACTCCTGATCTCTGAAATTTCCTCCCTAGGCCCCCTCTATTCGAATTCCTGGATCCGCCACTAGAACTAGTCAGTCAAGTTAAGGAATATATGGCTAAGACAGCGAAAGACAGGGCTTCATATATCAGAAACAAGAAGGAGAATCTGTGGACAGTGTACTGGTTGGTATCAGTGGCGGATCCAGTGGGGGGGGGGGGGCATGAGGCCACCCCACCCCAGCCGAAAAATAAAAAAGAGGGAAACATTTTAGTTACAGAGAGCTAGAAAGAACAAAAAAGGGAGTGTGCACCCATGAGTTCAGTGGTGATCCAGCAGTGGGTGAAAGGAGAGCTCGATTATTTACCACTTACTGTATTTACACTAGCCATGGTGGGGCTGAGGTGGGCGTGGCGGCGTGAATTTTATTTTGTGCCCCCCACCCCCGTCAGAAATTCTCTAGATCCACCCCTGGGTATAGCCACGACTTATTGATACACTATGGTTAACTACCACGCTACAGCTCCAAACATCAAATTTTATTTTTGAGGCTTTTTTGTTTCGATTTTTTATGAGCAATGCTTAAGCCTATGAGCATATTCCAAGGTGAATTAATATTGGCATCAAACCTGGAGGGGAAAATTTTAATGCGTCATAACAGGACGAATCATTGATTTTTTAATCAGCAACAAGGCGATAATAATACAGCATTTGTGTTAAAAAAAATCTTGTGAAAAAAAAGTAAGTAAGAGTAAACTCAGAAATTCCGGACGGAAGAAACAATACCATTGATCGTCCGTCACATGTTCTTAAAGGCCTCCTGCGTTCTTTTTTCCTTTTGGGTATGGCGAAATCAGAAAGTCCCATTTATCTTCTGCTAATTCCAAGTCACACGTGACCATGTCATTATTCGACGATAATATTCGCTCAGGTTTTTTGTCCGGCGCCATCAATGAATGAGGTTTAAACTCGGCACTTTCTAACGTTTTTAACCAATCACGGCATCGCTGTTCGTTCTCTTCCATGTATAATATATCGTCAAATTCTTTTTCCCTTAGTTTAAATTCATGAGGTTTACTCTGTGCTAAAGGTACTACAAGGTTTGAAGCTTCTGGCATTTCTGACGTGTCAATAACCATACTATGTGTCCTACGAATGTTCGAACGATGTCTTTTATCCGTTATTATCTCTCCTGAACTTGCGCGTCTGACCTTCGTCTTTACGTCCGACCCATCAGCCGAACTTAATTCAAATCTTGATTTTTCATTATCTAATATACATTCCTCTACAACAGTTGTAAAATTTTGCCAAGATGGCGGTTTAGGGCGAGTATTGTGATATCGATCTTTGCTGCTTTTTCTCTTCGATTTTATTTTATCAGTCGGCCTTTCTCGATGATGTTTAGTGGACCTTTCATTTCGGTTGATATCACACTGTTCGGTTTCATTGCTTTTGTCTAGCTGATGTTTCGATGCATCTACTGTTTTTGACATTGGAGAGTCTGAGTTAACAGGAGACTTCGTGAGTTCGGTGGTATCCAGGGAAAACAATGATATTCCTTCGCTATGTAACAATGGCCAAGAATACGAATGCTTTAATATGACCTTACTGTTCAAGTTTGCGTCAACTTGGATTTCATTTAAAAGAGGCAGACTACTCGTACCAAAAACTCGCCTTTTCTTAACGTCTATACAGCTAAGTTTTCCACATAGGCCTATGCCAAATTCACTGCTCAGTCGAGAATAATGCCCCACGCACTCGCAGTCTTGTCTACCAAACTCAAGTCCAGCAGTCGTTTGGTATATCGTTGGATTAATGCCTGATTTATTACCTTTCTTAGAATGTCTCGCATTTTTACCTTTACCAACGTTACACAACGCACGTTGTTTCTCTTTCGTAGTAGATATTGGATCAAGTCTATTTCTTGGTGATTTGCGTGGAAAATATCTACTGTACGGTATATCCGACGGCCGTATGGTAATCTTCTCGAGTTGAGTAATGAGACTTTGAGTTGTTGTGGTTTTACGTGGCCGATCTCTTCGTCCGTCACTCTTCACAGTGCTCAGACTACTCATAGCCGGCTATCGCCTATAAATCAAACTTGAAGTTCATTCCTGGACAAAAGAGAAAACAACTAGAATAAGAATCAGATATCAAAATACAAGCAACAATGTAGCTTCGATTATACGCCCCACCACGGCACAAAACTGAAAAACAATGATCGCTGTACTTGTATTATTTGTCATTATAATACACAATAGGCTTTACGTGAAAAGTAGTTAAATGGCTGTTGAAAATAAAGAGCTAAATCCTTGACACATCTCACCACACACTTCACAAATAATGGATCTATTTATTGTTGAGATTCGGTTCCGCACTATGAAAAAAACAACAGGTAATACTTATATAAAGAAACTTAAATTCGCCGTGAGAATATTGTTTGAGCAGGATTTAAAGAGTGTCGTCGCGGGTCACTATAAACACAGCAATCGGGATGCGGTTATTTAATGTTAACACATTAAAATAAAGTTAAATAGGCCTAACAGTACACTTAATGTTTGCCGATGGTTAAATTGAAGTTATATTATTATGCTGATAGGCCTATTGACTCCCAGTAGCCCAAAAGCGCTTTGTGTTGCTTAAATCCGATACCGTACACAAAATCTCCAAAATCTAGCCTAAGCTTAATCTTTAAAGCATATTTATGTTTTTTGTATTTTTTTAAAAATTTTTTTTAATCAAAAATCACTGTGCCTGAGTAACACAACACTATTTTTAGGTTATTGATCCAAGCTCATGCGTGGATATTGGCTGGATTCAGAAATTAGAAGTTTAGTATAGCGGCGCTAATCCTCATGGTTTGATTCACTCTAAAGGCACACGCTGGTGTCTGCTCGGGTCGGATTTTAGGGGAACCAATCGACATTAAAATGCCACAAACGCATTGAAAAAGTATTGAGGTGGTCTACAGGCCTTGATTCAACTAAACCTTTTCGCAAGACTTTTGAGGATCAACCGATGCGTTTGCGTCAGTTATCTTGCGTTTTACAAGTTTGGTACACTGTACACTCGAAACCATAGCATTATTACAAGAACCGAGCTTTATATGTAACGCGTTGGTATCCTTGGGCCTACTAATCATGATTTGATGTATAAAATTCAGCTAAAAGAAGGAAGAAAATGGATACAATAAGCGTGTGTATTATTCATTAATCTAAAGGCTGAGGTCACGAACGGATATCCACCTCAATGTCTGAAGTTCCGAGGGTGTAACAAGCAAGAGTTGAAAGCGGGGGCATCCATTCACCAGTAAACGTCGATGGGAATTCATTTGAAACCTCATATTATTTCAGTTCACTTCAGCCATTTTATTTATCATAATTGCCTTTTTTTATTTTTTAAATGAGACGATCTGCCTATTTTAAAAGGCACTACAAATAGGTCTCCCTCCAAATAAAGGCCATTTATGGGACCGGGGTTTTCTTGGTCTTTAATAGCCTTGGTCTCTAATTAGAATAATAAAGATTTGGGACCACAGAAAAGTGGTCTTCAATTGAAGGTGGTCTTTAATTGGGGCCTTTAATTAGAAGGAGACCTGTACTTGCGGTACAATGAAAATAGCTATTTTATTGAGGTTTGTCGATGCCGAATGACCATAGGGCCTAATCTTTAAAAGATTCAATGGTAAGATGTGTATAAGAGACAGATATCACACTGTTCGGTTTCATTGCTTTTGTCTAGCTGATGTTTCGATGCATCTACTGGAACTATACTATAGCTGTCTCTTATACACATCTAGATGTGTATAAGAGACAGTATATATATATTATGTACGGTAACGCGTGAAGAGATAAACTCTACATCGTCTTGCAGTAATGCTTATACATATATATACATTTTAAACGATAAAGAAGAGGAATTCTGCGAGTGCAAAAAAAAAATCCCCTAACCGGGATTAGAACCCGAGACCTTCTGCTAATAATAATAATCACGTGGTGAGATACCATCATGTGATGTGAATGGACACATGCACTCAAATTCTGATGACGTAAAATGTGCTTCAATACTTCAATTGCTCTTTTCAATACTCTTGACCGTTCTTCTATTTTTCTTAGCCTTCTTCGGACATGTCGTTATCACCGATCGCGAGACTGAGCATGCGTGGCATCCAAATAGTTAGATCACATTGGTAGAGTAGGACACTGATCTTATTAGCTAAATATATTTGTTCAGGTTTATTTGTAGCATTAATTTCAAAGAAAACAATCAGTGTCATGTAAGCGATATGAATAGTCGTATGCCAACGAGTCTGAGAGCATATTATGCTCTCAAGGGACGAGGCCCCGATCCTCCTGTCAATAACAGGGCCTTGACATTATGCTCCAGTAAAAGACACCCACAACTATAAAACTAATCCACTGTAATACCACGCTTTTAATTCACGAATGACGTTTAGATAATTTCCGAAGAAATACTGAAGTAAATGGCTACAATTGAATTCACAGCGATTTCGAATTAAACTACAGTAAAATAACAAGCTACGGTATTGTGTGATATTCTACTAAGAAGGGGGCCTCTCGTAATCGACTACTAAAATGCTTTTCCCCTCCCCCTCCCCACCACAACACTTTCTTGACCCAGGCCCTGTGACTCTTCATTAAACCACTGGTTCAACGAGTCACAGACAAGCAAAGGAGTCTGAGCATTATGAATTCCGAATTTTTTCATAAAAAAGAATGGGGTTATAAAAAGAATGCAAAAAAAAAATCAGATTAAAAGTATGAATGGTACGGTATTAAAATTACTGTGCGCGTCTGAGAATCTCAATCAACAGCGACTTAGGCATAATAAGTAACAGCTGATAGGTGTCGGTAAGATGTGATCAATGCTTCAAACGTAAAACGTAACAATAATACAAAATTACAATATTCAATTTAATTTCTCATTTTGAAAGGCTGCTCATATTTATTTTGATTCGTTAATATTGTTTAAAATTAAAGTTAAAAGTTGTTTGTTATATGTTTAGGATTTTGCTTACTTTTTTATCCGTGTTATTTGTTTTGTATTTCATCGTATTGTCCGATTGTTACATGTAGGCCTATAACATTCTCTTAAAAGGCGGGCATCCAGCTGTTGAATTTGAATTGAAATTTAAAAAAATACAATAGGCCCTATGCTTAGAACACCCAAAAAACTACAAGCCTTCTTTATACCTGACGTTTAAAGATACTTCGTTATAGGCCCTATGCCTCTATATTCCGCCTGTGCGAAGATTGCAGTTAATATGCCCCTTGAAAACATGTCTCTGACCTCAATTGAGAGACTTTTTTTCACTGTAGTTTTGCCGTCCGCAACTTATGGCCTGAAAGCTTTTGTTGCACAAATGACCAGTGCTGACTTTGATTACAAAACTCTTGTGCAGTGCCGTCTACTAAAACACTGGTGGGGTGTTTCAAAATTTAGTTCCAACTCTCATCTCCTTGATAAATCTGGTTGGGTGGGTGCTGGAGATATTCTCCAAAATTACTTTAGATTAAATACTCCTTTACCATCGCTGATTCGTGATGGCATTCAGACCCCTCCAAATGTGACCCTGTTGCGTGGGCCCATGAGGAAAACGATGGGGCGGTGGACAGGGACGGCTTACCATAACCTTTGGTGTAGCATAGCTAATTGTTACCACCTTAATAATGCTTGCTCATGTAAGCTGTGCGGTAATTCCGTAAACCTCACCAGGCAGCATTTACTGGTGTGTCCTTGGGTGACGGTGGATGTTGGGGTACACAAAAACTTAATAAATAAATAAGTAAATTAGGTGTAATAATAAAATAAATGATTATACAAAAAAAAAAGTGATTAAATTCCGTTGCATGTTCCTCAAGATTTTTTTCATGGTGACTCTGGTTTGCGTGCCAGTTATGTTTTACCTGTTGTGCCATGTGGCCGTGTATTCAATTTTTGAGTAAAAGTGTGCCTAAATACAAATGATTAAAGTCAAAAATAACCATTTTACATTAAGCAAGACAAATTTGCATTCTAAGATTCTCATTACTTTAATCCTTGACAACATTAGGGCCTACATTTGCTTTAAAAACAATAGGATTAAGTTTCGTATAGGCATAATTGTCATAAGCGTAGCCTAGTCTGATGATACGTGATTATTTGTAACTAATGGAGGTCCTCCTCGCCTCTATACTGTAACCATTTACCTCTGTAACTGTATCTTATAGTATACAGGATTGGGCTGTATAGAGGCCTATATCAATAAATATAACGGCAGAACTAAATCGTAAAAAATAACAATAAGTTAATCATTATACTGTAATAACTCTTGAAATAGCACTGCAGGGGAATACAGGGGAACAACTTTCGAAACCACGAGTTTTATGTGCATTGTTCTATAGGGCCTACTACTGTATTATAGATAAGAACATGATCCAATATTACCACCTTACGAAGCCTATAGTTCAGGTTCTGCAAAGTACAGTATTAACGTATTTAGTAGGTATGTGGTAGGCCTCCCTCAATAAGCCGAATTAATACAGTATACGGAACTATACTATAGTAATAATAATATACAATATACTATAGTTGATATGCCTCCTTTGCATGATCTCACTAGTTCAATCAATGACATAGTTATACGTGCCGTTCGTTGTCGTGGTTTGTAACACGATTTCTGTGTGTTAAAGTGATCTTACCTGTACCATGATAGGTAGGTTGTATAGAAAGTTGGACAGACAATTATGCAGCATATATACACGATGAGATTCACAGATAGACGACTTAAAAGCGGTCTCAAAGTACAGACTTGATGCACAAGAACCGAGGTCAGAAGGGCAAAATACCAATATATCAGGCCTACTGCAGCGAGCAGTCGCGTTTGGTCTCAGAAATGCTGCAACATAAACACCAAAGCCGATAGATTTCTTCACCCCAGGCCCTGATACATAATCTGAACCGGAGTCCAATTACCAATAATATGATGACGGAGGAGCACAACGTAGTTGTGGAAAGATTTCTGAGCTGTGTTTAAAACAAAGAATTTCCAAACAACATTAGGCCTATGATACATCCTGTGGTCTTGTAGCTTTGATGTCTAAATGTATGCAATCAGAATATAATACTAATACTGTAATAAGCAAATAAATCAATACAATATTTGAGGAAAACTGCAAATGAAAAGAGTAAAGTAAATTTTGTATCCATTGGCGCTAACTACTTTTATATTTATAAGGCCCATAAAAAAATTAATAGTTTATCACCCTATAACTTCGTCTTTGTATAATGATTCTAATATTATCTTTATTTTAAACTTTATATATTTACGTGTTGTTAAAACTCAAACCCCGGGCACTCTGAACCACCGCCACCCCTCTTTTTTCGGTAATTCTGGCTACAGGCCTGCACAAGCTATACATACCGGTACACGAAAAACAAAACTGATCTTCATGAGTGAGGATCATTTCATGTTTTCATGAAGAGGGGGTGGGGGAAGACCGCTCCCCCCACCCACCTTTTGGAAAGTCAAAAATAAAAAGAAAAAGAAAAGAAAAAAAGGAAAAGAAAAAATAACCTTGACGAATACAATTGCTGATTCAAATTCCAATCGCATTCTTATTCTAAGTGGCGTACTATCTATGGGGTGCGTGCGTGCTTACCCACCTCCCCACCCACCTCTGAAAAATACTTGACCCCCCGCAATTGAAAATTTTTGAAGCAAAAAGTTCATAAAGATCACCTCAAATGACATATTTTGCGAGCCTCAACTTCTGCTTCGCACCCCCTCCCCCCACCTTTCTTTTCCCCCCAAGAGTCCTAAATACGCCTCTGGTGGTAAGTCTTGTTCTGAGTTTAGATCAAAAATGTGTTATTCTCACTAACAACTGAGACAACTCCATGAAAATACTACTTGGGGGTAGGCGATTCATATTGAAATTGGTTAATGAAAAAAGTTTCATCAATTACACTGTTCTGTTTTTATTTTGCTATTCTATTTGTTTGCTAGGCCTATGTACAATTTTGTTGAGGCCTACGTTCTTTTGTGTAGTTACTCAAAATATGACCGTTATATATAATACTCATCATCCTCTTCATCCCCATTATCCTCATTATTGCTGTATTATTATAAGGCGTCTCCCGTTTTTTCAAACTCGCTGTTAACAGTTCAAACTGAATTTTCAGTCTTTCAGAGTCTGAAAATTCAGTTGCTGTTATCTGACTTGAATGACACTCGCACATTCCTCTTCTTTTACATTTCATATAAACACATATACATTATATAGGGAGGCTAATTAGGCCAAAAAAATTGTTGTTTGCCCAGCTTTTTTTTAAAAAAAAAATGATAAATAGGTGCGGGTAGAAAAAGGTTTTTTTTTCATTTCATTTTTTTTAAAGATACCCATCAGATGGAATAAAATTAACCCTCGGAGGCCTAGATATCAGACAACTTTATAATAATTTGTAGGGCATCTGGCAAAAAATAAAGATAAATTCACTCACATTTTTTTTTAAGAAAAAGGTAAAAAAAAAAGTTTTTTTGTTTTTCCGCCCCTATTTTTTTCAGTGAGTTAGGGACAGATGGAGGAAGGCAAACAAACAACTTTTTTTTTGGCCTTATTAGTCGCTAGCCAAGATGACTATGTGGCTATCTGGGTAGCACGACCACATATCTCATATCATTACGTGTCTTTCCTCTATGATTGACACACCAGTCGTTCAGACTTCCGACCAATCAATTTTAAAAATATAATTACTGTACATTATAGTCTCGTACACAGACTAGATAGGTAAGTAGGCCTACCCATCAGAAAAGTCGCATGCCAAATGTCCCTTCTTTTCTTAGTGCCATTCATTGCACATTACTTCGTGCTTTGGTGCCATCGTAATTTGTCACCATCTCTGTCAAGTACGTCTTTACCGGTAATCAGTTCAGGTTCCTTTATATTCATATTCATGTCTATTAATATTCTCAAAATTACCGTAAGTCTACCACGTCCACACCTATGTTGATTCAATATCAATAAAAACAAAGGACGCACGAACCTCACGATCTTTCACAGCGTTAAAATATTTATTGAACAGGTAATTTAATGCACACAATGCAATGGAAGAACATTCAGGTAAATAACATTAATTATTAGCATGTGTACTATATGAGACTATTAGACAATAATCATAATTATTGGCTTACAGTCGCAAATTCATTCCAGGTAATCAAATACCTTCCAATAAATTCAAAATGAAATTACAGATAAATACTAAACATACGTTCAGTGTTTTTGCATAAAGCCAATTCATTATTGAAAATATGAAGCTGCAGGATAATATAAATTTAAATTTTATTAAATTCAATTTTTAACTATGATGCCAGAAACTCACATGGGAGTGATGACATTATTAGTTGATATCAGTGGCTTATCTTGGAGTCTTGAAATGGGGGGAGGGGGAGGGGGAAG